TGGTAATATTACAGCATTAAAAATATAGGAACTAATTTTATCTGTTATGCATTTGTTCTTCAGCAGGTTATTACTTAAATTTTTAACTTCATCAAAGGCTTGTTGTTTGATAAAATTGTTATCATTATATATATTGAACCAAACACCCAAGATTCTAAGACTTTCTGTTTTTCCTTTAGGTTTGATTTTGATTTTCTGATTGCCAAATTCTAACTCTATTTTTTCATTAAAATTAAAATTCTTTTTCTTAAGTAACAATTCAGATTTTTCTTTATTTATTTGAATATCGTTAAGAGTATAGAAGTCATCAGCCGTTTTTAATATTTTTTCTAATTCTTCTTTATTGCCAGCTAACATATTAGTATCATCCATATATGCCATGCTGGTAATGTTTTGTTTTACTTCTACCTCTATATTTTCATATAAATTGATTTTCTTTTTTGCTTTTACACGATATCCAAAGTGTTCTTGCTGTATGGCAGTAAGAAGTGGATCATAATATATACACCACAAAAGTGGTGAGATTATTTCCCCTTGATCGATTCCAACCATTACATCATATGGATTACTTAATCCTCCTGCTGTAAATACACTATTTTTCCGTCCTAAAAATAACTCTTTTGTTAAATTAATAAAAGAACTTGGTATTTTAAGACGTTGCATAGCTTTTTCTAACATAAAAATATTAACACGATCATATGCTTTTGACATGTCTAATGATAAAATCCACAGTTCCTTATCATTCTCATTAGCATCTTGAATTATTTCATTAATAATCCTTAATGGTTCAAAAGTTGAACTGAAAGGCAATCCAGCAAATTGTAAACCTTTAAGAATTTTGTTTTTCTGAAGAATTGTTGATAATCTTGCATTCATTATTGATACCATTAATTTCCTAGCCGTTTCCAATAAAGTTATTGGGCGTGTATTAACTAGTTGACAACCCCATGGCTTTGGTTTTGGTATAGGATAAACATTAGCATATTTCCATTCTAATGGTATCTCTTGATTATTAAAAATTAAAATAATTAATTTTCTAATAATTGCTTTAAATTCTGGAGATGTGTGTTTCAACATTTCATTACTAATACCAGTAGGTCCAGAAGCTTTATTATTAGATAATTTATTTAAAGCTTCATTCAATTCATCATTTGTAGGCTCTACTATCAAATCTTTATAAATTTTATCATTAATTTCATCTTGCGGAAAATAAAATTTTGCCCAATATTCTGATAAAATCTTAGGTTGGTTTGTTGATCCTGCAATATTTTGAAAATGATCATTTACAATATCTTTTATTTTTTCTTCATCAGTGATTAATTTATCTTCATTATTTTCTTTAATTAGAACTCTGTCTAATACAATGGATTTAATTTCACGTTCCATTACACTATTAATCATACGTTTTTGATTTTCTAATAAATCTTCACAGCGTTGGTCAATTGCTAGTTTAATTTTTTCTTCTTTGAATTGTAAAAGATCGTGATTATATAGGATTAAATAAATTTGATATAAATTTTTTATTTCTTCAAAAATTTCCTTGACACTTTTATCATCCTTAGGAATTTTATTCCAACAATAATCACTTTTTTCTCTTCCAATTTCCAATAATTTTTTTCTATATGTAATCCAATTTCTGATCACATGATTTCTTTTTCTTGAATCTTTAATTGAACGTCTGAAATTTATTAAAAATTTCATTACTTTATATGCATTAGATATTTTCATTGGGTTGACTTGACTTTTAGTTAATTTGATTTTTTCTATTGGAATACAATTTTTACTAGCTTGAACAAGACCTTTTTTGATCTTATCCCATATATGATTAATATTATTTTTATCGTTAAAATTAAATTTTAAAATTTCTGAATTTGAAATGTATTTATTAAGATCATTCTGAAATAATTCCCATTGCTCTCCATCCATTTTATCATACTTATAAACTTCTTTAAATCCTTCCTTCCATTTGATATTAGCAATATTCCCAATCAAATCTTCTGACCATATTGAATACACTAACATTCTATGATCAGTATTAATTGTTGTTGTATTAACAATTTTGCATTCTTGTATTTCTGAAAATAAATTTTCTGTTACCCAAATGTAATCTATTCTAGAAGGATTTTGATTTGTATTAAAAGGATAGAAAGTATTTAAGAAATGTTGTGATAAATTATCGAACATGATATAGAAAGGATCATAAAAATTTTGTTCATCTTCAATCCATTCAAAAAGTTTATATTCTTTTTTCATTTTACGATTATTATTTTTATCATCCAGATATTTTTCATAATGAAGATTAAAATCACCAAGAAGAATACTTTGCTATCAGAGCAAGTTTTTTTGACATCCTTATAATATATATATAAATAGCATATTGACATAATTATGCATATTGTCATATATATTTACATTAATTTTAATAAGGTTTTAATAAACTTGACATGTAACATCAATTTTACATACCCTTTTAAAAGGATAATTATCAAGTATTACACAATTGATTTTTTTTTCTTAAATAAAATAATAATTTTAATAGAGTTAATAACATGGATATTAATAAGGTTTTTGAAGTAAATGATATTTTAATATATTACACAAGTAATTATAATAACTATATTAAACTAATTATAACATTCATTTAATAAACTACCATTTTAATATAAATTTTAATATAAATGTTAGCAATGTTTTTGCAACAAATAATATTTTAATGCATTATATAAGTAATTGTGCTAAACATATTAAACTAATTACAATATTACTATATGTAAATATACGCATATTGCATGCATAAAGTATTACACTAAGCTAAATGTATAATTAATTTACTGTAAATTAAAACTTCTTCTATTTAATCTACGAGTACGACGGCTTTGTGTAATTGTTGACAAGTCCACTTGATTTGCTGCATTTTTCTGAGTTACGTTTGGAATGATCAAATCATTAGTCAAATAATCCAGTTCTTTAATTTGCTGTAACGTGTGATGATTATCAATTCTAGGATTATTTAAATGTGATACTTCAAGAGTTAAATGTAATCTAAACGCTTTTTTTAAATATATTTTTAATGGATTCATAATGGTAGAATCATCAAATAATTCCTCTTCATTAATAACGGCTAATTGTGAAAAAAAGACATCTTTAACAAATGCATCTGTAATATATGGTGCAATTTCATCTTCATTTGGAACCTCATCAATATTTAAAATCCTGTTTAAAAAGTAATTAAATAATTTTAATTATAGGTACTAATAATTAATAGCGAGGCAGTACAATTTAAAAGAACTTACTCTTTAATTTTTATATATTCCTCTGCATAAATACTAATATCATTATTAAGTCGTGAACGGTGTTGTGCTAAATATTCAAGACCACGTCCTTTTAAGAATTTTACACCCTCGCTATTTTTTCCTTGATTTGGCAATAAAATTTTTGCAATATTCGTAACTATATCTGGACCAGGATTTCTACTTCGTATAAATAAAACTTTCATTTCCTCGCACATGTCAAACACATCTTCACTAGTAAACTATAAATTCAAAATAATTAGATCAAAAATTATTATTAAATTACATAATTAGAAATATATTAACATTTAAACTTACTCCGTTACCATTAGACACAGATGAAGGATGATCAGCTGATTCTGCTACTGCAGATTTCGTTGTTTCAAGTGAAGCATGATAACGCTGTTGACATTGACTTCTACTATACCGAGTATTATCTTCTTCATTACTATAACGTTTTCTAGATTTGTTTAATTGCACTTGCTCATCATCAATATTAATTATTTGAGAATTAACTGCCGATAATGATTTGAGTTTTTCATGATGGCTTTGCTTTTTATTTGATAAACAATGATCAAGGTCATCATTGCTTTGATCATTATTTTTTTGTTTTGTAAGTAATGATCTAATGACACGTTCTAAATCACTGTCACTATTAGCTTTTTTCTTAGAAAAGAATGAGACAAGGGTACGTTCTAAATCATTATCATCAGAATTATCTTTTGCAAAAAATTCAGTACATGATCCATCTTGTTGAATATTAATTGTTGTAGCATTCTGTTCATTCATTCTTAATATATCGTTACTATTACCAGGCGTCTCATTAGAAGTATCATATGGAATATTGAGGTTTTTAGGGGATAAAGCTTTTCTTGAATTGTTAATATCACCATCTTCTTGATTTATATCATCATCGTCATCATCTATTTCAACTGTGAGTACTGTTTATAAATCATAGAAAGTAAAATTAATACTTTAAAGAATTAAAGTTTGAACTAATTTATTAAAAAATTTTACCGAAGGGTTCTTTTTCTTTGTTATTCTTTCGACAAGTATCACGCGTATTAGATGTAGCTCATGTATTAGGTGTAGCTCGTGTATTAGGTGTAACTCGTGTATTAGGTGCTTTATTAACTGAAGTTTTTCTTTTTTGCGGCATATGTAGGTATTTATAAAGTGTTTATAAAAAGATTTTACGAGAAAAAATTTTTTAAATTTTTTTAAAGATGTAAAAATGTGGCGATTTTATATGGATTATTGATTAGATCAGCATGTCACATGATAAATAAAATACATAAGTCTCAAACATCATATTTACGTATATGTACATTTATTTTAGCCTATTCTGTCGATAATCATTGTAACCAGAGTAAACTATTTATTCTGAAGTAAACTTATAATAATGAACTAACCAACAAGAGCAGCCAAATAATAACTAGAGACTATGAGTTGGAGCGAAAGTAAGTAGAATAATTGTGAAATTTAGTAAATTTAGAGGATTATGTTCGCTTTATAGAAACTAATGCTTTTTTACTTTTATTTTATAGGAGCGCTCTTTTCTTGGGTATTTATAGCCTTCCATTTTGTTTAGGACTTCTGGTAAGCTGCTTTATTATCGATGTTGGTTTATTTTCTTTACTAATTAGTGTGTACTAACATTTCTTTGTAATTGACATAAGAGTTTTGATTTAGCACAGTATGCCAAAAGAGATGAATGAAATAGCTGACCAAGATTTTAATGATACCAGTCATATCATATCCTAGCCCAATACATGGAAATTAATGATGATAACGAAAAAGACGAATTTGATCTGATTAAGGACGAGGACCAAAATTTTCTCAAAATTAATGAATTTTTTTAAACGACGTAAATATTTACTTTAAGCTTATAATTAAATTTTGTGATCCTAGTTATACTCTCTATTCTCAAAAATAATTTACTTTATTTATTAGTTATTACCTTTCATAGTGCTAAGAGAATGAAGTTGATGCCGATTATGATAATAATATTAGATAATGACAAGGAGTGGAAAGATTTAGATGTCATGCGCCTTAATTTTTTCAATTTTTACTGTAAAATTAATTATGTCAGAAAAAAAAAATTATATTATTGCAATAGCAAAACTTTGCATATCATCACGTATTAGATTCTAGTTGATAAAATAGTACAGATATAGCGAGCAAAATATTATAGTAAAATCTTTACAATTTGAAGATTATTAATGTTATGGAAGAATTCGTTTAGTTATATGATTTTACATGGTGGGAGAATTCATTTAGTTATATGATTTTATATGGTGGGAGAATTCGTTTAGTTATATGATTTTATATGATGAGGAAATAAAAGAGATAAACAACAATTTTTTTTTAAAAAAAAAATAGAAAATAGCAAGTTGGTATCGATGAGGATAGGATGAGGACAAAGAAATGATAGAGATGAGGAAAGATGGTGGAGGAAGACTCAGGTAACTAAGACTAAGATAGAAATTAATCATATGAACAACTATCTTCGTCTTTATTCTTGTAAAATTATATTTTTTATATAGTTGTATTATATTCTTAATCTATAATCATAATAAAATTTTATTCAGTGATTAACGTATCACAATATCACATGAAAAAATAATGATTTGCCAATTATGAAGTTTAATTAAGTTTAAAAATTTGATCATGAAGTTTAATCACGATCTTATCTTTTTTAATTTTTTTAAAAAAAACTTTAGATTTTTAAATTTCCCACTTTAAAAAAATTTTATTTAATTATGGTTAAAACTTCACGTAAAACATCACGAAAAGCAAACTTGAGACAAGTAATTCGCCCAAACCTTGGCAAAAAAGTTAATCTTCGAAGAAACATTCAACAATCACTCGTCAAACATAATTTTAATACTACTACTACTGATGACATTCAAAATAATTTTATCAACTCTTTCTCATCTCAAAGATTTGAGCAAATTGATGAAAGTTCTAACTTAACTTTACCTTCTTCACCTTCACTACCTTTACCACCTTCTACATCACCACCTTCTCCATCACCGCCTTCTCTATCTCCCCCTTCACAATCTTTACAACATGAAAATGATAATCTTGCTGCTGAAGATAATCAAGAAAATTATTCTTACGATGATGAAAATTATTATTGGGAATCTGAATCTGATAATGATGATGATGGAAATTATTCATGGAAATCTAGTGTAGATAGTGATAGTGATAATCAAGAGAATTATTCTGATGGTAGTGATGAAGAAATATCTTTTACATTCAAAGATCAATATGATGGATTTCAAGATACACCTTCTTATTCTAGTGAAGCTGGACCTTATTTCCCAAATAAAACTGTAATGTTGATGTTCATTTGGTATACAAAGCATATGATAGGTAACGATATTTAAACTTTTTGTATAATATTTTTTAACAAATTAACTAATTAATTATTTATAACTAGGGACTCATGCATATCAAGATTTAATAAAGATCCTAAAACATCCAGATTTTCATATAAGCGAACTTCCTCTCAGTATCACAACATTAAAAAAAATGTGACGTGGTTTACCATTGATGACTCTTAATAGTCACGATGTAAAGATTAATCCAATGGATACGCCATCTACCACACTAACCCAAAAAGAAGGATATACTTTTTCTCTTTTTGATCATATTCAGCGTATTCTTAAAAATCCATTTCTTTTTTCAAAAATGTATTTTGGACCTGGAGTTGAAGCATCTGAAGTGGTAGAATTATGGGAAGGGCAAATATGGAAAGAATCACCAATTTTTGGCGAAACATCATTACTGATTAACAATGGTAAGATTTTATTATTTACTTATAATATTATTAAATAATATATGTAATATATGATATATTTTGTTTATAAATCTTATAATATTTTATCATTTTTAGTTTTATATCAAGCCGGAGATTTTATTATCTATATTATCTATCAAGAGCGTTCATCAACTTTGCATTTAGGACAAATTAATGGAATTGTGACAAAAGGAAATAAAGATGAAAAATTTCTGTATATTCAAGAAATTGTATACTACTCAGATCTTCCAAAAAACCTGAAATCTTATGAACGTTTAAATAAATCTAAAAAAGCACAGTTTGGCTTACAGAAAGACGTAATTTGGTTAATATAAGTAATGTTATTAATCATGTCAAAATTTGGTTGAAAGATCTACCGGAACCATTAAATTATGATTATCAGATCGATGAAATTTTATATGTACATAATAATAGGTCAAAAATACGACAGATAATATGACGACATCGACTAACTTATTATAAAACACCAACTCCTCCTTCTAGTATTCAACATTTGAAATTTTTTGTAGACTTATATTACGACGATTTTGGTACATTTAGAAAATCATATCACAAACTTGGAGGACTTTATGTCCAATTCGGAAATATGCCACTTTCTATACGACAATGTCTTAAAAACCACTTTCTAATAGGATTCGTACCTTTTGGTGCTACTTTCACTGAATTTATTAAACCTTTTATTCATGATATGAAAAAGTTACAAAATGGAATTATTATGACCAATTGTCACGGTGAGGAGGTATTTATATCTGGTGGACTTGGTATGTGTACAGCAGATCTGCCGCAAGGCAATGATTTGACTGGAATTCGAAGACATAATGCTTATTATGGATGTTGCTCATGTGAAGTATCACAAGATGATCTTACCAATTTGCTTTTTGATATACAAGCTAATGGTAGATATTGCCATCTAACAGATTATCAATTTCAAATGATTAAACAAGCACCCACGAAATCTTCTAAAGAGACTATTGCAAAACAACATGGATTATGTTATCATAAAAATATTCTTGATCATCTTATTCGCAATCGGCATATACAAACGCCCCAAGATCCTTATCATTATTTGGCAGGATTAGTACACCGTCTTTTTGATGAAACTTTTAAAGTAATGAATAATATGGGTTATGTAGAATTTATTAAAGTATGGAAAACATTTGAAGTACCATCTATTTGGAATCGATTACAAAATCCAATTACACATCGTGATAGTTATTGGATGAATGATTCACTACGCCTTACAATGATAATGCCTTTTATTTTAATTCGTGCAATTAATTACAAACATTATAAGGACGATTTTATTACTAGAATCAAAAATGATTTCTGTTTAAGCAATAAGATGCAAGTTCCGGGTATTATTATTAACTGTTGGGTAAAAATGGCTAAAGCTTGCAAAGCTATTTTTAAATCATCATATATAATAGACGAATCATATAATGATTATATAGCTTTAAGTGAAATACTTGAAGAAATATCTAATATGCTATTAAAGGTATTTATTATTGTTTTTTTATTTAATCTATATTTTTTTTACCGTATATAAATTGACTTTAATAATTTTTAATCGTAATTTTAATATTCATAGGTATTCGGATTATCATTTTCCAAACTTCCAAATATGCATGTACTTCGGCATTTACCTGAGATTGCCGTTAATTTTGGTACGATGGTTAATGTCTCAGTTGCATTTAAAGAGGCAATGCATGGATTGTACAAAAAACATGTACCACATACCAATAAAAAAAATATTTCAATGGATCTTTCAAAGCGAGATAATACATTACAAACTTTGCGATACTTACTAGATGGTGGATTAGATGAAAGGTACGATAATATTGTTAATAATTCATTTAGTAATATAGGTCAAGATCCACATTTGTGCGGATTATTGAATGATTGGTATATCAAAACTTCCAATTCTAAAGAAGAAAATACTGGTATATAAATAACAGTTTATTTTTTTAATAATTGTATTATTTTTAATAATTTATTAATCAATTTAGGTATTTTTTCTATTCATCCTGATTTTGGAAATATTCGTGTTTATGGATTATGGAAACTATCTAAAATTCATAAGCTCGGTTTATCTTCTACAATTTCTGAAAATAATTTATTATTTGATTTAACGAAAATATATGAAGATATATATCAAAATTATGGTATAATTATTCAACGTCATATAAATTATTATGATTTTATTTATTTTACTGTATTACATGAGAATTATTATTCTAATATAACATTACGAGTTGGTGAAGTAATTGACGTAGAAGAAGAAGACAATTCTAATGAACAATCATACGCACTTATACGAGCAATCATATTACACCAGGATGATTATGGACGGATCAATCCTTTTCTTCTAGTTGATTGGTTTTATAGAAGTGGTAATGTTGATTCAATAACGGGTTTACCAATTTATTATCTACAAGAAAGTAATGATTCTTTATGGTCTCATCTTCATCTTTAATAATCGTTGATCGGCAACCTAAAGTGCATTTTGTACATAAATGCACACGTAATTGTTTAGGAGGATCACATGATAAGAATAATAAGGAATATATATTAAATGAATTTTATTATTTAATTATATAATTAGTATTATATTAGCGAATTTTATTAATATAAAAATGCATATAATATAGATATTATAAATATTATAATATTAATGTAATATATACTATAATATTAATGCAATATACATATTACAAATATTATTAAATATGTATTATAAACATTATAATATATATGTCAGTATACGTATTTTAAACATTATAATATCAATATAATATATATGGCAATATATATCTTATCATTATAATATATATGTCAGTTTACGTTTTTTAAACATTATAATATCAATATAATATATGTGGCAATATATATCTTATAAACATTATAATATATATGTCAGTTTACGTTTTTTAAACATTATAATATCAATATAATATATATGGCAATATATATCTTATAAACATTATAATATATATGTCAGTTTACGTTTTTTAAACATTATAATATCAATATAATATATATGGCAATATATATCTTATAAACATTATAATATATATGTCAGTTTACGTTTTTTAAACATTATAATATCAATAT